CCTTAGCAATCTACATGTATGAAAGTGACCACACTGGCCCTCAAAATTTCCTGATGACAAAACGTTACTATGACAATGATGTCCGGTTGGATGACAAGGTGGAGGATAGCATCAAGACAACAATGGAAGGCTAAGCAACAAACTGCAATCCACTCCTGTGTAGGCAACTAATTGTACGAGGAATATAAGATACAGATGCATTACAAATTTGAAGTTCCTACATTTCAGAAGCCAGAGATTGTAATAATGAAATCCAGAGAGAAACAATTAAACTCTAAAATCTATTGCATCAAACTTCCATTTCTACTACAATATGAAATGCTCCTGTAACAAGAAGTATTCCCAAATCCATGACGTGAAGACAGTTTTGGCCTCTAGCAACATACATCTGAAAGGAGAAAGCTCCGGTTCTATTGCAAATTGCTTTACGTTCTGACTTGCAATCATCCAGTTCTTAATGATAGCATAGTTTATCCATCCATCTGCTTCCCTCTAACTTCTTATTTCTCAGATTTAATTTAGCAAGACCACAAACACCATCTCATTGTTCCATTTGACGATTATTGTAAGGAAAATATCAATGCTGTAAGGGAAAATTTGACTAATGCGTGTACTGAAAGCATCAAAGCAGAAGCAAGGTGGGCTAGCTAACTTACTTTACTAGTCATTTTCTTTCTCTGAACATTGGTTTGGTGATTGACTGAAGTCCATCAGAGCCGTAAGCTAGATTTGACTTTCAATAATGCCCAACCTGTTTCCTCTTATTTATTCTTTTTTTTTTTTTAATTCTATTGGAGGGTGTTGACACAGTGCAGAATTTTTTTTTCTCAATAAGAGAACAATTTTATTAATAATTGATATAAAAACAGTGGTACAAGAACCAATCAAAAGTGGACAAGTTGTACAACCTAATGATTGATAGAAAATAAAGTAAAAAAACAAAAAAAAAAAAATAGAACACTGAAGTCACATTACAATCCACATGATGCTGTCCAACTTGCCACAATACTAAAAAGAGAAGTATTATCAAAATCCTTTCACACGGATGTCCCAAAAAAAGCCAAGAAATAAGCCCGTTCCCATTAAACTCCATCCATAAAACCCAAATTTTTGCAAAGAGAACACAATGCCGAAGAATCTGCACTTTTCTACTTCTACTCAAACCCACAGTCCAAACAAATCATAGATAATATAGATCTCTAAGCCACAGAACAAAGACCAACTAAGTCAAAAAATTATTTCATAATGATAAAGCTATAGTACAGTGCAAGAATAAATGATCCACCCTCTTACCCTCCTCTCTACACATCACACACCATTGACATGAAAGACAAGTCACAGATCTCCTTCTTTGAAGCACACCATTAGTATTAATCTCACCATTAGAAATTATCCATGAATAAACTAATACCATTAGAGGAACATCTGCAGACCAAATCTTAGAAGATGGAGAGAAGAATGAAAGTGAAGGCCCATTAGTTAATGACTCAAAGTAGGATTTACAACTTACAAGAAAATACACACGAAAGATCACTAATCCAAACTCTCTTATACAAATAATTTTGGGACAGAGACATTATTAAGCATTGTAAGTAATATCAACAACTTCGAATGTTCCCCATCATTAAGATTTCTACGGAATCCAAATCCCAACTTGGAAAAGGATAAGATTTGACAAAAGAGGCAATAAATTTTCCAAGATGGCAAAAAATATGATAAAGGTGAGGAAACAAATTAAGACTTTGCCCTCCAAATATCCTCTCAAAAGTGAACCCTCAACCGATCTCCCACAATGAAACTCACTCTCTAAGGCTAGATAACTCCTGATAAATAAACTTCCATGAACTTCGGAAGGTCCCTCTCAAAACCCCTTCAACATACCACCCGTATCGTATGCCACATTGAATCTTGCTCAATTGGAAATTTCTAACGCCACTTTCCAACTAAAGTTATATTCCTTTTTACCAAATTTCCCACCAAAAGCCCTCCCTTGGCTTTTGGTCTAGGGCCAACATCCCCACAAACCAAATGATATTTTCTTCCCCAAACGTTTCCCATAAGAAATTCCACATTATTCCTTCAATTCTCTTAGGCACCAAGCAAGGCACCTTAGATAGAAACAAGTAGTAAAATAGGGATACTTTCAGCACAGACTGTACTAATCCCCTTTGGAAATGAAACATTTCTTCCATTCATCTAATTTTTTCCCTATCCTCTCAATAACAAGATCCCAAAAAGTAATAGACATATAGTTATCACCTAAACGGGGGACTGAAGTATTTTATAGGCCAACTACCCACCATGCATCCTAAGTCACTAGCCAACCTCTCTATTTTCTCTTGATTTGAATTGATTCCTATAATCATGATTTTTTTCCATATTAATCTTCAGACCATAAATCATCCCAAAAACATCCACAATCTTCTCTACATTTCTAAATTTTTCCACGTCCGCCGAAAAAAAAAAATTGTGTCATCAGCAAACAATAAGTGAGACACCCAAGTTATATCTCTCCGCACTCTACCATAACCTACTCATCCATCCAACACCAAAGTGAACAAAAAAGGAAATAAGGGATCACTCGTGCCTACGCCTCCTAGGAGTTTTCAACTTACCCAGGGGTTATCAATTTAACATAACATAGAAATGCATTGATCCCAGTCATCCCTTAATCCATGTCCTCCATCTATCCCCAAAACCTCTCTCTCCCATAACAGAATCTGAATAAGACCAATCCACATGGTCATGTTTTTTCAAAGTCAATCTTTAACGCAATCCCATGCTTCCCTCATAGTCTATATTTTTCAACAACCTCATTAGCTCCCAAAACCACAACCAAAATTTGTGTCTTTCACAAAAATCCCCTGAAAGCAAGAGATAGTATTGCTCAAACACTCCCTAATAAATCCAAAATCTTTCAGTTTAAAAGAATTGACTTTTTTCAAAATAGGACAAATAAATGTAGCATTTGTAATTTCATTAAACAAACCATTAAATAAAAACTCTTCAAAAATCCTCATCAAACCGTCTTTTATATCCTCCCAAAAAACCTAAAAAATAGCCATAGTGAAATCATCCAGACTTGGGGCATTTTCTTTAGAACATCCAAAACCTACTTTCTTAATCTCCTCACAAAAGGCCTTTCCAGTAGTGTCTTCACTCCATCAATAGCACACCACTCAAGCCTCACCAAATTACGTCTATGACTATCACAAGCATAGCATATATTAGCAAAGAATCAACAATCGCCCTCTCACTCAAATCTTCCTCATCCACTGTCAAACCATTATCCTTCAATTTACCAATAATTTTCCTCTTTATTTTATCATTTGCCACTCTGTGAACAAAATTAGAATTATTATCACCTTTCTTAAGGAACTGAACTCTAGATTTTTGTCTCATGCTTGTTTCTTCATTAAATACCACTCCCCCAAGTCTATTCTTTCTCTCCCTTCTCACCACATAATCAATCTCCTCTTCTTCTACCTTGTTATCAATATCATCTATCCTATACAATATTATCCTCTTGGCTTCACAAACATCCAAAAACTGTTCTCTATTCCATATTTTTAATTTTTTGTTTCAAAAACTCAAATTTTTTCATAAACTCATATCCTTCTCACCCTTGCATTTCACACTCCAACCACCATTCCCTATATTCTCTCTAAATCCTCAATGTTCTACCCACATTCTCAAATTGAATGGACACAAACCCTACCTAAACTTTGAATTCCCAAGAACATAGGGCAATCGCCTGACGTTATTCAAGTTAAAGCCTCCAACTTAACATCGGGAAAACAATTCTCCCACCCATCCAACTATAAGAATCTATCCAACCTTCTACAAATCGACTCAATTCTAAGATTGAACCATATAAACATTCCATTAGCTAGATGAGAATCCCTAAGCTCAGTCTCTCTAATGAACATATTAAAATCCCACAAACTTTTGGTCATTCTACCCCAATGTAAATTTTCCAATGGATTGCTAATGACATTAAGTTCCCCACCCCCCAAACACATTCCAAACAAACCTGTCAATTCCGATCATCACCTTGACCTAACCCAAGGATTATTTAGCCAATTCAGCCTGTCAACCACCATTCATTCTCATTCCTATGTTTAATCTTGACAAAAATTGAAAATTCACCCTCAATAAAATCTTGCACAGCTATATTACTCTCATCCCGAATAAATGAGGAGGAAAACAGCAAAGTATGCCTACATGAAATAGGTAATGACAGAACGCTATATTTGGAACCATAGACTCTCCACAACACTCAAGGAGGATGGTTATTGCTTAGAATAAAAACTCCCTCAATGGATCCATCGTGTTCACCTATAAGGACACCCTCATAACAACCTAATATATGAACCCACAAAGACAAGGCTAAATATCTATTTGTCTCCATCCTCCAAACTTTTAGATCAATCCTTTCCATTTATTTATTGAAAGAATGTGTCAACCTACATGCAACTGACCAGACCAAATTACCAGCACTCTTCCCAAGTTGATTGCATAACAAATTACAGTTCAAGTTGCAGATATTTTAGAACCAAGTCAACCATCGAAGTGACAAAATAAAGCTATATATTGCACTAACGCATTAACCAAATTAGTAAGCACTTAACCAACGTGAGGAAAAGCAATCGGGAACTGAAATTAAGAGCTCACCAATTGCTAATTGGTCGATTTCTCAATGTGTCTCAAGGCCTATATTGTTGCAGTCCCACATCTGTCCAACAATATAGAAGCCTTATGTGCTAAAATATTTTTGTGCACATTTATGTAGTGAATATATATCACATAATTTAGAAGATAACAAGTACCTACGAATTGTGAGAGGAAATAGGGGAGAGGGAGAGGGATAGCCAAGTTTGGAACAGTGAATTAAACGGAAAATCTAAAACAAATTGTATGCTCTGACTAGAATAAAAATGAAATAACTGAGTTTCATGCGAAAGTATAGAAAAAGTCGGACCAAATTTAGAAGTCACAAATTAGAAGAATTTTAAAGAGCCAAGGACAAGAGAAACCTTGAATTGAATGGTACACTCTTCCTTAGTAGGTCCGCTTTCCACATCCTCTGAATCTGAAGAGGAGTCGGATAAATTGCAATCACCGTTTGCATCGTTAGGCTTATCATTGCTGTTCTCACTTTGTGAGCCCTTAACAGAAGACTCAATTGCTCTTGAGCCATTTAATTCTGATGCCACTGCTCCTGGCAAAGCTGGAACTGGTGAGGCAGCAGCAGGAGATCCAGAATCCTGCAACTTTTTTTTATCAGATCAAGTGCAGATGAAGATCCCGGGAGAACCGTGGCTCTTAGAGCTGTGGCATCACGACCACCAGTGTTAACAGCAGGGGCGCTCAAACTAATAGGAGCAGATCCTTTTTCAGTTAATTGATTTGTATTTGGCACTGACATTACTTGTTCTTTCAAAGCATCAGCATTCTGCCTCTTTTTCAACTCTGTTACCTCCATCGGAATTTGCCAGCTGCTTATCTAAACAAGAAGACAAACAACCACTGAAGAGGAGACTATGTTTTAATAATGACAACAAAATACAAATATCAATCCAGACAAGAAATTGATGTTTGTTTCAATAACGACTAAAATAGATCGACTTAATATCTGAAGTTGAAATCTGTTGGCTCAACTCAGTAAAGGGGGCAAAAAAAGATCATATCCAGGTATTTCTTACCTTTTTCTCTTTCTTTACTTTCTTTTATTTTTTGACACATTGTTGAATCACAAAGTAATTGAAAACACCATAAAAATATACAACAGTTCAGAGAGAATTCTGCACCAATGAGAAAGCCAAAAGTAAAACCCTTTATGGTTGATCAATGATTGCAATGCAAAATCTCAATAGCACCAGCTTTGACTCCAACACTTGCTTTAGTTTCTGTTTGTGGCAACATAAATCCCTCCTTAAAACACATGAATTAAGAATTCTAACATTAGCAAGGTCTCTTTGGAAACGAAAGTTAGGACTTTCCTAGGGTGCTTTCCTGGGAAGAGAATCTAAGGGAAGGTGCTTTGATTGTGGTCATCAGTTTCCAAATGCAAAGCCTCAAGGGAGGTTCCCCAGAGTATTCTCATAAGCACTAATTTGTCCTCCTTTCATCCCTAGTACGAAGAAGTCACCACCTGTGGAGAGCGCAAAATTCCAGTATGATGGTTGCTCTCTTAGAGCCATGTATGAATCACAGAAGCAGGGAAGACACATGACACTACAAGGATGAGCTGACCTAGCAAATCCCGAGACATTAGGACACAGACAACACGAGGACAAGTCAACATAGAGATACCTTTTTGTTGATAAGATTGTATAGCTTTTAGATATAATTATTTATACACATATCAGATGACTGCTTATTTACAAGAATTTTGTGACATCTATGCCATAACACTGACCTACTATGAGAATCAGAGAAGTCAACAATCACCCATATTGTATAGTGTATACACTAGTCAGTGCACACGTGCGTTACACGTGGACTATTTTGATTAATAAATGAAATATATTATTATCTAAAGAATACAAATGTGATCCGATCAATAAAAAGTTAACTAATAAGTTGCAATAATTTGTAGAAAAAAATTAAAAATTAAAAAATTTTCATATTAAGAAAGTTTTATTAGTAGTACCGATATAGATTAATTCATTTTTTCTTTTTTGCTTTGTCATCATCATAGTTCTTTTAAATCTTACCTTCAATGTGTACTTAATTGGTGATCAACTATTTAGAACATAATTTTTTACCACTTTACCAAACATTATAATGCGGTCTCAAGAATCCAAGAAGGCCAAAAAGCTCAAATCTAAATATCACCTCCATATTGTCAAAAACGAAATACGAGCTTGCTTTGGTTCTCTTGTTATTTGTTTATAAAGATTGCATTCACTTTTTTTTCCATTGTTGAGTGGTGATTCTGTAATTCGAGTATTGGCAATACATTCTTTATGATATGTACAATGATTTGTGTATATTACTCCTACAAGATAAAAGAATAGGTGTTAATTGATCTATGAAAATCGAACCTATGAAGGATAACTTGTTTCCACAATAAAAGTTTTCTTAAAAAAAAAAAATTGAACTCCTAACCACGCACGTAGGCCATTGTTAATAAAACAAATAACAAGAGATCTTGTAGCACCTACTACTATATCTTATTTCGGTTTCTTTTTTAGGTTTGTTCAACATAAGCAAGGCTATTTAGATGTTAGATTCTTGCTTAGGCATTTCACTTTATTCACATTTCACTAATATTGTTGAATTCAACATCTAAGCCAAAACAACATGATTAGATTTTTAGGTCATTCACCTAGTCCTTAATATGTAGATATCAATCTTTGAGGCAAAAAATTTTAATGCAAATTGAGTTGTGAATATTCAGCACTAATGGAACATTACCTTGGCGAAAATTATGAGCACAAGTTTATCAAGAATTAAGATTTTCAAAACATCATATGTAAAGTCTGAAAAAAAATGTCTTCCCCTTCTTTACGATATAGGATCCATGAGTTGAAATGAGGCTCAACAAACATATTATATGAATATTTTTTAAATTTATTTTTTTAGCAACAATAAAATCTTATTAAAATAAAAATTTATAACTCACTACCAAAAGAACAGAGATCATTCGAAAGTACTTTTTAAACGCAATGACCACAAGTAAATAAATAATTTGAAAAGATCACACCTTATCAAATTAAGCTAAGTTCTTGTTTAAGTACCAACAATTATTTTTTTCCCTCTAAATTGACAATGATCACAAGCTATAAAAAGACTTGAAAAGTTCACTACATTATCAATGAAATGTATAACTCCATTTCATGGGTCACACTTAAGTCAAGTTAAAAACAAGGACCATCAAATGAAAACGCTAAGACACATGTTCTATTAGAAGGATTATATAGTTTACTAAAAACCCACAGTAATAAAAAAATTTTAAATGCTTCCAAGAACAAAGTCTTTATGAATCAATGACCAATCATGAAGACATTTTTTAATATTAGGCTTAGCATATATAAGTTTATCGAGAAGAATCTTATCTATAATTACCCCCTCTTCTCTCAACATATCACCCAAAACCCAAATTTTAAGCTTTATCAATTTTGGAGCACACCCATATCCACGAAAACAATGAAGATTAAACTTCAAGCACACTCACTCATATCAACAGTTTCCACCACAAAGAACAAAGAAAATTAAGAAATAACATGTTTGTCTGAGTGAAGAAAAATGAAGTTTTTCCACTCAGATAACCCTCTAAAATGAACCCAAGAACTATAGTTAGACTATGGGGAAAGAACACCTTGTTTCATATACTCTGCAACAACAACATACTGCCAATTTACATTGTGAAACACAAATGTTATGGCCAAACAAATAAAGAATATCTACAAACCGTAACGAAGCAAAAAATTGAGTGATAAGCATCTTTTATGAAACAATCAAATTCCAACATAAAAACTAACCCAGGAGTTGTGCCTACCATAAAGTATAAACTATCCCACCATGCATTAAAACTAAGTCAGACCAAGAGTCATATATGAATCATATAAGAATATATTTGTCATAAGTTACCCCAAGATTTCCAAACTACATAGTTTTTTACTCCGGCATTATGGGGTAGTAACCCTTGAAAAGCTTAGTATTTTGTCTTTGGATTTGGAAGTATTTGGATTGCTTGCTCTTATCATATGCATTATACATATATAACTTTGATGCATATAAATGGGATCCTTTAATTGAAATAATAAGGGGAAAAGCTAAAAGGTGGTCTTGAGGAGTAATCACGAAACTCTAAATGGCCTATAACGGTTAAGAGTAAATATGAGACTCTTATCTTTGGGGTGTGTCAATTTATGATCCTTGCATTTAAGCAAGTAATTCAAGTAGCTTGATGAGTAGTGAATCATCTATAAACTAAAGAAAAATTATTAAAAAGAATATTGTTGTCTTTTCATACTTTGTTAAAGCCAATATAGTCATTCAATAGTTATATATATATATATATAAACAAGAATCCCAAAGGTATGAGATAATTCAGATACAATGTCATATTTGGTTATATTAATTGTAGATTGATTTTAATAAGGTGTAAAGGTTGAATTAGTTATATTTCTTGTGAAAAAGAAAGTATATGAAGGGTTTTTTTAGATATTTTATTAATATTGGATATTAGATAATCAATTATATAAGTTTTTTTTAATCTTTTAAATAGGGACACAAGGGTCAATTAAAAGTTTTTTACTTTTGTTGGCAGTTTATAGTAGTATATAAAAGGCAAAAAATTGCAATCTCAATTAGTTGTATTATGATATATATTGGTATCATCAAAATCATGTCTAATTCAACAACTTAAATGAAATTTGTACACATCAAAGAGGGGAAGATAATAGAAAGAAAAAATGAAAGATTAGAGAAAGAAGCATAGAAGTTATGAGGGGAAGATATAAACTTTTATGAAACATTTATACAAAAACTAATTCAAAAGTTTTTCAAGATATTGATTGACATTTAAAAGTAATATTGATATAGATAAAAATATAGAATAGTAGCTCAAGAATCACAATCACAAACAATATACCATTAATGTTTTATTATAACTCTAAATGGGTAGTATGGGCATTAACTACATTATTAGGGTTAATATCGTCAAACAAAAGTTTTTCACTTTTGTTGACATTTTATAATAGTATAGATAAAGTGTAACAAGGATAGCTGATTACAATGATTTCTTCAATCCACCCATGCCGTCTCCTTCAATGAAGTCATAACATGTCCAACTTTTAGTTTATCTTATGGTAAAAGCTTGCTAATGGGTTCATGTAGGTCTTTAATTCAGTGCTACTAAATTCGGCCTAGCCCAGCACATCAACCCAGACAACAGGGGAACTAGTGCTGCTTGTTAATGGTCTCATTTGTGCACTGAACCAGCCAAAGACTCAGTAAACCAGGCGGTTTTTATAAAACCCAGAGGAAACCGGCGACTAGCGAGTAATGCAAACCAGGCTGGTCATGGTCTGATATAAAAAAACACAATTTTTGTCCTAAATCTACATCTACAGATCAAGCAGATATCTTCTCACTCCACTTTGAGCCACTCGTCATCTGTCACTCCTCTGTGCGATCTCAACCTCTTCACTTTTCTTTCCTCTTTGCCATCAAAGCATCAAATGTTCAAACTCCAGACTTCATAGGACTCTAATTGAAGGCAGCAAAGCATAGACTTCTCCATCACTTATGCGAAGCATAGGGCGTTTGCAGAGGGCGGTTGATGTAGGACGGGAATGGAAAGAAATCAAAGAATATAAAGAAAAGAGAATAAGAAAAGAAGAAGGGAAGGTTTACCCTAGATCACAAAGAGTGCAAGCGGGAATGAGAGAGGGAGAGAGAGCGAGAAATTTCAAAAAAAAGTGAGTGGGAGCATCATTAAGAGCATCAAGTTTATAAATGACATTGTAATACACATTGGAAAAGATAATGTCAAAGAAATAAGGAAATAAGGCATTTTAGAAAAAAAATTTTATCCCACATCGGTAAAGCACCAAAATGTTCTGTGGAAAGCGGCCATTAAGAGGACTGTTGGCTGTTTTGAAAATTAAGAACAACTTTTTGATCCCACATCGGTAGTATATCAACAAATTCTTTGGGAAGACAGCATTAAATAAGACAGATATAGACTATTTTGAAAAGTAGCTGGGCTCAACTTGGACCCCAGTCCAATAGATGGTTGAGAAAGGTTCGTTGGGTTGAGTTCTAATCCCCCAAAGCAAACAGGTTATTCATTTGCTTGTTTTCCTCTACTTTGTTACTACCATTATACTAATTCTCCCATTCATTCCACCTAGCTTCCCCCTTGAAACATCCAATAATCTACCATATTCAATCCATCCTTTTGCATTAACACCTTTAGGGATAATAAGTCCCAGTCTCCTTTCATTATTCATTGACTTTGTAATCCTCAGAAACACACCATATGTACTAACCTCCATTTCCAACAAAATACAAAACCCTGCTTCCCTGTACTTGTGCAGAAACACTCCCTTCTGATCCCACTTGACCACATCATCCATGAATCTCCTCAACCAAGAAATACCTGCTTGAATTAAAACAAAAGAAAAGGAACCAAAACTATTCCATTTTGTAATCTGAAACCACCCATTATTCAGGCCCACAAACTTAATAGAAAAGGTTTTATGTTCAATCATCAATTCCATAGTAACAAGAAAGAAGAAAATTTTGTCGGGCTCAGTTTTGAACATGTTTTTTAGCTGTCTAACACTAAGAACCATAAAGCATAATGGGTCTTATGGTCATTTTATAGAATTTCCCTTTTAACTTAAGGGGTATGCATCTAGCACACAATACAACGGATACATTCTTCCATTTAGTCTATCTTGCTTTAATTCAATGAGTAGCATCGTCACCAATCTCATTTTCCCTATTGAAAATTGACCCTGAATATTGAAAATATTCACTCTTCGCAGCCTCTTGATTGTTAATTTTTGCTACTTCCCGGTTTGGATTCCTCTTTTTATTAAAGTGCATTCCATATATTCAGTTTTAGTCATACTAATCTTAAATGCTTTTAATTCTAGAGCCCCTCACCAAATTTCTAGTTTATTATTTGTTTCTCCTTTAATTTCACCAATTAATATTATATCATCGACAAATAATATGTTCGCATCCTGAATGTGTCTAGCCAATTCATCCATAATCAAGGAAAAAAGATATAGGCTCAAAGCAAAACCCTAATGCAAGGCCACAGTGATTGAAAATTCATTGGTCTGTCCTGTCGTTGTTCTCACTAAAGTCACCACATTTTTATACATATCCTAATCAACTCAATATAGTATACCAAAATACTAAGGGCGTGTTTGGTTATGTTCTGCAAAACAGTTTTTTGTTCTCAAAATTTTAAAAACACCCAAAATTTATTTGCTCAGCATTTTTGTTCTCAAATTTTTAGAAAAAAATAAGATTTGGAGCAAAGAAATAGAAAACAAGCCACACTTGTTTTCAGACTATTCTTTGAAAATTATGAAAACACGGAGAACTGGGAGAACACCTCTTTAATGAGGTCTGCCCTTCGATTCTCCTTAGCAGTAGGCATCCTTCTTCTTCTTTTTTTCCTTCCTCTCTGTCTCTCTACACTTTGCCCATCAAACAGAATGAACACAAGGCCGTTTCTCCAACTCTCTCTCCAGAACGAAGACACATACAAGGCCATCTTCTCCAACTCTCTCTCTCTCTCTCCACTTTGTCTCTCAGACAGAACGAGCAGAGGGGAAGCTTCAGATCTTCTCTGGCGAAGACGAAGACAACACTTTAGATCTTCTCCGACGAAACTTCAAATCTTCTTCACATCCTCCGGCGAAGCTTCAGATCTCTCCACATTGTGGGTTTTGGTGTGCTTTGTGGGTTTTGGTGGTGGTTGTGGGTTTCGATGATGCTTTGTGGGTTGCGATGGTGGTTGTGGATTTTAGGTGATTGTGAGTTTTGGTGGCGGTTGCTTTGTGGGTTTCAGTTCTTATTGGCGCTTTGTGGGTCTTGATACACAGTGAAAGAGAGAGAGAGACTGAGAGTTGAAGTGAGAATGAAAATTACGGATTACTGTTCAAACAAATTTTATAATTTTTGTTCTTTAAACTATTTTCAAAAATATATAACCAAACACGTTTTGTAATCTAAAAATTTTTAAAAACACTTTTTTAAAACTCTTCCCAAAAACAATTTTCAAATATTATTTTTTAAGATGCAAACCAAACAAGCCCTAGTTTTTTCCTTATCTAAAATCCTCCATAATATATCTCTAGGGACTTCACAATATCTCATGTTCTAAGTCTATAAAAACTAAATGAATCTCTCTATACCTCTCCATTAATGTCCAAAACAAGTATATAGCTTCCATTTTTAATCTTCCAAGCATAGATCCAAACTAATTCTCAGATAATGTTGTCTCAAACCTTAATCTTTGTTGGATCACTCCCTCCCAAAGTTTCCTTATATGACTCATTAGTTTAAAACCTCAATAGTTTGTGCAACTTTGTATGTCCCTCTTATTCTTATACATAGGTAGTAAAATACCCTTCCCCCACTCATCGGGCATCTTCGTAGTCATAATAATATTATTAAATACTTTAGTTAACAACGGTAGCCCAACACCCCCCCTAAACACGTGCAAACCTCAATATGTATACCATTAGATCCTAAAGAAACAAACTTCTCGTAAATATGCATAAAAAATGCCTGAAATAAGTAGAGATATAAATTGGCAACCAGATCAGATACGTTAGAAAGAATGGAGGTAGTGGGTTACAGCACAACAAAGTCGATCCTTTAAACTTCACTACAATGGTCAACTCACAAATTCTATAGTTAATATCAAGATAAAATCATTTATTGGTTGGATCTAATGTTCTCAAGGCAATGATTTAACTAGAAAGAGATTAATTGTATAAAACATGACAGAGTATGCATTATGCAAGCATAAGGGAATATTGTGCAGTCAATTAATAAAAGCTCAGACTGCCAAGCATCAAAACTCAAGTTTGAGATTGAATGCAGCATCAACTAGCACATAAGAATCATTAATTGAAACAATGATATAAAAGCTCTTCTCCTGCATACTCCCTCATAAATAATTGAACATTGTTATGTTTGAATATTCAAATTATGGTGATGATGATCGCAACTTTGGTACATACTTGATGAATAGAAGGATAACAACAATGACAAATTGCAAAGGCAAATAAACCTTGGACTCCAAAAAAGTAACATTTATCCTAAACAGAGAAATCACATTAGTTATAATAGCAACCTGACACCAAAACAAGAAAACAAACCCTTCATAAAGGAACATAAAAGTATGTAGCCAACTTCTTATCACAGCAAAAGAAACCCTATTTTTCCAAGGCACAAACAAGGAAATGATCGAGTCTCCCGCACCATATAAAACCTTCACATATTTGAAAAGCTTGCAACAATCAAGAACATAAAGCTGAAACGGATTTCATAAAAGATGCACAATAGGGCAATGACAGATCCAATACACACAAGTGAAACTGATTCCATAGAAGCGGCCCAAAATTAAATGAGATCCAATGCATAAAAGTAAAATAAAATTCATAGCCTGGCCATTAAGAATACTAAAGCCAAAGTCCAAAAAATAGAAGAATAAGAAGGTTTCAGTGGATTGAACAAACCTTGGTTTTAGCATTGTAGTAATATCTTTTGCCATCATTCGTGGTCACCACCTCCCACTCTGTGCCAGCCAACTTTTCACTAAGCATGAAAACATGAAGTTATTAGAAAACTAAGGGCATGTTTGGTTTGTGTTTCAAAAAATAGTATCCGAAAATAGTTTTTGAGAAAAGTTTTAAGAAATGTTTTTAAAAATTTTTAGATTACAAACATGTTTGGTTATATATTTTTGAAAATAATTTTAAAGAACAAAAATTATAAAATTTGTTTGGACAATATTCATAATTCCCACCTCTCTTTCTTTCCCCTTTCTCTATCTCCACAAAACACACTCACACACGCGCACACACAGACACACACACACATACACGGAGGCATACACACACACACACGCGCGCGCGCACACGCAAAACATACACACACGCAAGCACACAGATCTGTGTAGATTTGTAGTTGTTGCGAGAGAGAGAGAGGGGGGAGGCAGACGCTGGGCAATGAAGAGAGACAGACGCTGGGCAATGAAGAGAGGCAAACGCTGGACAATGAAGAGAGGCAGACGCTCGGCAAGGCAGCATAGTGACGACGCCGGAGAAGAAGACGCTGGACAAAGTGGAGAGAGGGAGAGGTAAAAAAAAAGATGTTTACTACTAAAGGAACTTGAAGATCAAACCTCATTTAGATTGTTTAGCATGTCTCTGTGTTTCCAAAATTTTCAAAGAACAAGTTTAACTTGTTTTCTGTTTTTGTGTTCCAAATCTTTTTTTTTTCCAAAAATTTTGAGAACAAAAATACTAAATAAACAAGTTTTTTTGGTGTTTTTAAAATTTTGAGAACAAAAAACTGTTTTGCAGATGATAACCAAACACACCCTGAAATTTCAAAGTTTCTGTTAAGAAGATAGTAAAAATAAATTTCAATCCATCACAAACGATAGACAACCCAAAACAATGTTAAGGAATAGGCAAAAGGAAAAAAATGGTCAAATGATAAGTTGTGTTACATTTCAGCATCAGCAAAGCTGCACTTGGAAATTTGTTGACACTATGTTGTAGATTTTCACAAGAATTCCTGGGAAAGATGGGAAATCTTTAAGGCTGGTATTGAGTTATAGAGAAAAATCCCACGAGCAACTTCCCATCCATCCAACTATTATCATGATATGACATAAATATTCCAACCAACCACAAGCTTAAAAATGTTTCACTCCCTAAACTTTCACCCAGTTAAAAGTCAAAACAACTGCTAATATTCTACTTCCTCAGTTTCCCCAAATTCAAGTGTCAATTTCCCAGTTGCACCCAATTTGTTTTTCTTAATAAAATGATCCACGAAAAGGAACCAAAGAGAGTCTAGAAGAGGAGTCCTACTCTTCAAAGATTTTAAAGACAAAAAAGGGACTCACTCACCAGAAGAGGAAGAGATCTAAGAAGTATCTTCCAAGTGCTTAAAGTTGTGAACTGGAAATTCTACCCCCTGAAATGACCTTCTGTTACTTTCATTCTGGATTTATTAAATATAGCATAAATGCACGAGGTGCGGCAACTCTGAAAAAAAGCGGGGCCTTCATTCCTCAAATTATCTTTCAAGGGTAAGGTGTAGAGACCCCTTTACAAACAGCCATATAATACCATCCAACACTAAAAAAATCTATCCTATTCTAACCTCCAATGCAGCAAATCCACCTTTCCTCCGATGTCATAATCATAGTCCATCTCTTATTCTCAATTCTAGAAAGCTCCTCTTCAGTGAAACGTCCTAAAAGGGTCAGGATGCACTCCTTCAAGGCCACCCATAGCAACCATTGTGCCAGAACCTGATATTCTCCCCATTCTCTACCAGTAGGCCAGGGTATTTAAAGAAGCCCTCTCCCATGCCCTCGTAAGTTCTTCCAAAGGCCAGCTACATCTGAAATCACCACCTCCCCCAAGGCCTTCCAAACACATGCACTCCAAATCAAACTTGCACCACCTATTCCACAAGCTATCACTTTCTGTAACAGATCTCCACTACCACTTCCCCAAAACACCAGATTGAGGACCCCAGATTCTTTCCCCATTACTTCATGGAAGACCAAATAACCCATCAACCAGGTGGAATTGAATTTCTCCCTAAGACACCATCTGAGAAATCTCTCTCAAGCAAAGTATAACTATCAAAAATGCAGGGGCCATTGCATTGCAATATTAGGAATATATCGCTATCAAATCAACTATAAATGATATCAACTACCTATGTGCACCTTGGCCCTTTAAGGTTCAACCTACGTGTACCATAGCCCACTAATCAAGCATCTTCCGTGATGCTGATCAGCAAAAATTTGACTGACAGCAGTATTTCATCTGAGTTACAAAGAGCTGATCACTGAATACACATCAATTCACACATGATCAAAGCTCATGATAATGATTCGGAGGGAATTGTGTCATCATGGTGTTCATTACTTAAATTTTTGAAATTTATATCAATTTTTCTGTGTTGAACTGTCTCTACAGTTTTGTGCATTGAAATGGAATAGAAATGGTATGTGGAGGTTACTAAGATTGGAGGGAGATCTGCAGTTTATTCATCCATTTTTGTTGATAAAAATGGAGTGTTTAGAATGGATGTGGAATCTTGTTTGGTTAGTGTGAAGATCAGCGTAGAAGATTAGCCGGGAGATTTGGCACACTTGATTCAAAAGGACCCGCAATTGAGAAAGTTGCTCATTGGGCAAATTCAAAATAAGGATCAGTTGGCTTGAGAGTTATTCCAATTGTGATCTCACTTTTCATGTTTTTTTTTCAATCGGTAACTGAAGCACATAGGATCTTGCATATGCAAGATTGGTTTTTAGAGGTAAGCCGATTGTACCTTGATAGGTGTGTGCATTGGGTAGGACTGGAGAAAGCATGTATCACAAGTCTGGGAGCCGAGATTATTGGGATTCGAGTGATTGGTATCCTGGCACATCTCTAGTGTCATGAGTTGTTTGTTGCACTCGGTAATTTTGTTGGAGAGTTTGTGAACATTGATTCTACCTGAGTAAGTGTGATGATATCACAAGTGCGAGAATTTTCATTAAAGCTTCGGTACATTCCATTCCAACAACGATCATTGTGCAAGCCATGAATGTTGATTTTGCCTTTCCAGTATGGTCTGAGATGAAACCGATCATGGTGTCAACCAAAAATAATGTGATTCGGGAACAGTTCATTGGTCGTAAAACTAACAAAATTTCATTTTTAACAAGATGAAGACTAAAAGGGGTCAACCATGGAGGATGGGAGTTCAAGATGGTCAGCCATAGAGGTTAGAGGAAAAAAGATGGGGGAACAGAAGAAGAGATAAGGGGAGAAATTTCGGTAACAGAGGGAGAAATATGGGGATTAATGATAGGAGATTTCCAAAATTAAGAGCTGACCAGAATTTTAAATTACAAAAAGCTGGTTTTAAAATAAAGGGCCACATATTGAAAGTGGGCCTCATTTTTTACAAATACAAGAAGAATCAGATGGGATTCCAGTTAGTAGTGTCCTAGTGGGCTTCTTTAACCTAATTGTTGGCATCGTTTTTTAGGAAGGCAAGTAGGAACATATGGGCTTAGTGGGTCTCTTTTACCTTGTGGGCTTAAGGGCAGTAATGGGATATTCAAACAGTATTAATTCTCGGGTCACAGCTTCTAAAGTGGAGATCCAAAAGCATGATCCGAATGTGAAAGTTTGGATCGAAAAAAAAGGTTCGACCTGTTCTAGCCCTATTTCTCTAAACCTCGACATTGGTTCTTCTCAGTATCATCCATGCAATAGTCCTCTATCCTCTGCAAATCAGACGAATAAATCTATTCGACATTCTGCTACCTTAATGGAGGCAGCTAGAGAGATTCAGATTGTTAGGTGAACAAAAGGGTTGGACGTTTTTCATCACAAAATGGTTCATTTATTTGTGCTAAAGAGTAAAGAGGAATGACAAGAAGCTTAGTGAGGGAAGCTCCATAGAAAATTAATGTCTATGATGCTAGAGGAGGGAGGTTGTGATCTATTTTGGGTCAACTCTACACCTAAATAGAAGGAAATTGAGGATTGTGAATTATAGAATGGTCAGGTGGGGCATTTTTCTCAGAGGGTTGTAGCAGGAACACTAAATCAGACTTCTACACAATGTTTGAAAGGAAAATCAAAGATAGGGTCAGAATCTATCTCTGATTCAGATGGTTTACAAAATTTTTATAAATCTGAAGGAGACCATTCTTGGAGGAGCTTCACGAATACGATCATGTATCCTATTTGGTCAGAAGCTCCCGTGAAAACAATTGCACGCATGGGACTGTTTGAAGATGGAAAGGATAAGGAAAATGTTGATAAGTCCATTCAAAGAGAGAATGACAATAAAAGTAGTGATGTTCCTTGAGAAGGGATAATAGACACACAAAAGTGTGATTCTGGGGGTATCAAATCTACTAGTTTGTCTCTTGTTCCATCCCCAATTTTAACTTTGTTTCTTTCGTTCCTAATTTTTTTTTGACTCATAACTTAACAAAAATGAAAGTCCAAGGATTTTCTTAGGAAGCATTACATCCAGTGAAGGGGTTCTAATTATTGGAGGGAAGTGTAGGACAGAAACTCAGTTTTCCTTGTGCCAAGGAGGAATAAGTGGAGAGGGGAGTCCAAATCTATTTACCTATTGGAAAATGAGAGAGACAATCGAGTCGTATAGACCCTTCTTGAACTAACAGTAGGAGAAAGAAAAAGGGTGAGAGAGAGTTGAGCAGTTACAATATAGGATAAATTAATGATAGGAGCAGTGGTGGTAGAAGGCTCAGTGCTAAAGTTTTGGGATGAAGTTCATTAGTTGGTAACTTGGAATATGAAGGGTCAAAGAAGCTGGAGAAAGATGATTAAAGAGGTGATGTTAAGGGGTTCTACGGATGTAGTTATGATATAGGACTCTAAGTTAGAATTAGTTGATGAGAATTTGACTAGGAGCATGTGGGAATCTAGGCATACGGATTGGGTGTTCCTTCCTTCATGTGGTTCCTCTAGGGTATTATTGTCATTTGGAATACCAAGGAGTGTTACTAGATTTGATTGTGTTGTTGGTGAGTCTTTTGTGTCGGTCTCTTTCGCACGGTAAGGGGAGAGGGTGGGTTACTTTTGTGTATGGTCCAAACTGTCCTAGGATTAGATACTCTTTATGGAGTGAGTTGTATGACGTGTATTGTTTATGTACCCGAAGCGATGTATGGAGATATTTTAATGTGATTGAGAATTCAGGGGAGAAACTGGATGGTTCTAGGGTTACTACTAGCATGAGGAGGCTCGATATTTTTATTTTTGAGTAGGTTGTGGGAGATTCCTCTTTCCAATGCTCAGTTCACATGGTCCAAGTGCTCTGACAAGTGATAACATAATTACAATTAGGATTGATAGGTTCCTTTTTACTAATGAATGAGAAGATTGTTTTCCAAATTAGGTGCAGAAAGTCATGTCTTGACCTGTGTTTGATAATTTCCCAGTTGTTCTCGAGTCCAACTTGATGAAGTGGGGATACACTATTCAGATTTGAAAATATGTGGTTAACTTACGAGTCTTTTGTTGGTTTGTGAAGGGAATGGTGGAGGAGTTGTAAGGGGATGGGTGGGAGAACTTTAAATTTATAAAGAAATTGAGGGAGATGAAGGACATATTGAAAGTATGGAACGAGGAGGTTTTTGGTGATGTTAGAATTAGGAAAAATGAGATATCAAGGAAAATTGAGGTTTTAGATAGTTTGGAGGAGAGGGGTACTTTGTCAATTGATCAAATTAAGAGAAAGGTTTTGTTGAAGAATAAGCTAGAAGATATTAAAATGAGGGAGGAGGTTAGTTAGAGGCTGAAAACGAGAGTTCAATGGATAAAGAAACGTGATTGTACCACTAAGTTCTTCCATTGAATCGCAAATGGACAAAAGAGGAAGAATTTTTTTTGAGAGATAGAAATTGTGTCTAGTCAAATTGAGGGAGATCATGTGTTGATAATTAATGAGATAAATGGGTTCTAAAAAAGGTCGTATATGCAAGATCTTCCTTTTAGACATAGAATTGAAGGCATTGATTGGTGACCTATATGTTTGAACTCTGAATGGGCAAGTTGGTCTAAGAGACCATTGGAGGAGGTGGTGAAAAGTGTAGCATTTGATTTGAAAGCCCAAGGCCTTAATGGTTTTCTATAGTATTTTATCAAAATAGTTGGAACACCACAAAGGATGGTACTATGTGAGTTTTTCATGAATTGTTTGCTAATGTGATGGTAGGGAGAAGTGTAAATTCTACGTTTATGACTTTGGTCCCTAAAAAGATCGTTCAATGAAGGTTAATGATTATAGGCCTATTAGCTTGATGACTAGTTTGTATAAAATAATTTTTAATGTGTTGTCTAAAAGACTTAGTAAGGCTTTTGGTGAAATAACTACAATGGTTCAAAGTCCATTTGTTAAGGGCAAACAAATTTTAATGCAATTTTAGTGGCGAATGAGGTGGTGGATGATATTAGGAGGAAAGGAAATAAAGGAATTGTGTTCAAAGTGGATTTTGAGAAGGCATATCATTGAGTAACTGAAAATTTTGTGGATTGTCCGATGAGACAAAAAAATTTTGAAGAGAGATGGAGAAAGTGGACGAGAGGGTGTTTCTTTTCTTCTACCTTCTCAGTGTAGGTGAATAGTAAAATTGCAGAGTAGTTTAATGCTTCCGATGGATTAAGGAAAGGGGATCTATTATCCCCTTTTCTTTTTATTTTGGTGATTGATGCTTCGAGTAGAATGTTTGACAAAGCAGAAGAGGTGGGTGTTGCTAAAAGATTAGAGAAAATGATGAGGGATTTTCTTTGGTATGATAAAAGAGATCATTTAATGAGTTAGGAGGAAGTGTGCAAGCGTGTTAATGAGGAGGGTTTGGGATTTGGTACTTTGGTGTCTAAAAATATCTCTCTTGTTGGGAAATGATTATTGAGATTTTCATCGGAACCTAATTCCCTTTGGTATTGGATAATAACTAGGGTAAATTACACTCAGACCCCTAAAATTTGTCACTTAATCACCTAAACTCTTTCACATTTGAAATATTACACCAAAATCCCCTGAAGTTTGTGAACGTGTAATAAATAAACCCTCGTCATCAGCATCCTTTAATATAACCGTTAGAATTGCATGATATCATCAAAATATGTAGAAATAATCCCCAAATTACCCATTCTTCGGAGAGGCCGACCATCAATTGGTTAAACACTATCCTATCGTTGCAAAACTAAAGTACTGCTTGAGCATTAGTGTATAAAAACCACATCTACCATGCTAGAAACAAAGTGGTCAAGAGAAATTGGGTAACTGTGAGTTTTTTTTTTTTTTTTTTTTGGCTATTTCTAAATTTGTTGTTCACAATTCAAGTTTTACTAAGTTATATTTTGTTTGTTTTTTTTCAGCGCATATGTAGGTTTCCAAAATGAAACAAACAACCTAGACCTAGGTACGAACATAGAAAGTTTTACTATAAACTGTGAAATGACGAAACCAAAAAAACAAAACGGTGATCTACAAAAAAATCTACGAGCAAACAAACTAACAAAAACTCCACATAGTTGTCATTCTCAAACGGTGAAGGACTTGGAGGGATATTCCATACTAGTTTACGAAATGCAAACCACTCGATGCCTAACCTAGGTTTGAACACAGAAAGATGAGAACATAATCTAGTTCTCAGTTTAAACAAGCCTTTGTGCCAACACATATAGACCTCCAATCACATTAATGGTCATAAAGAATAACAAGCATAACCATTTAGGATAATACAAAGATGAGCAGACCTCTATTACGGACAACTAATGGAGAGAAAAGGTGATCCTTTGAAACATATAAGATCATGGACGTAAATCCCTAAAGCATCTTGCTAGACTAGAGATGCTTTAACTACATAGAAACAAGTCAAATTGTATTGAAAACCAAAATAATACAGGTTGTAGTAAGCCTTTATGCTGCTAGTAGCATAGCTCAAATGCATTAGAATACCCACTAAAAAAGATGTGATGCTCAGGTGCACAACTCCTAAAAAATAGTAACTAGAACCTACGTTAAAATCTTTTGAGACCAAGCTCACAAACACATGAAGCAACTTAAACAGGATCCATAAAGACCATACCATTTCAGCTAATACAACGTGACACAAAATCACACACAAGCACATACACACGCATTCAATAGCGCATGCACACACACACATCGAGGGTGCGGTTAAACTACAAAATAATATAAAACCCCAAATATTTTTCTAAAATACACAAAATAAATCTTAATCTAGAGCCATTTGTATTCTATGTAAGCCAATTATTGTACAATTTGTACTAAAACGAAAAAGAAACAAAGCCCTAGTTTTGATGAAGAAAACCTTAATCGAAGCAAATACCTACCACCAGTTTGTGAAGTCTTACACCTCTTAATCATTGTCTCGAACTAGTTTGCAATGTTCAAACTCGAAAGTAATGGAAGGGGATGAAAATCTCCATGTGAAAGAATCCTAAGTTCTTCAAAGTTAGAAGAGGTATACACCGAGTGAGGAACTGAGAGGAGGGCCAAAAAGGTATTTCAATAATATTATATCAATTCACAAAATATCTTTCATGTCTTTTTGGGGTTATTTTAGTCTTTTGTTTCACTTTGTTGGCTCCGTCAATGAATTGTTAGTAGCAAGGTGTTTGGGTGTAATATTCCAAATGTGAGAAGGTCTAGGTAATTAAATAACAAATCTCAAGAGCTTCAGGTGTAATTTACCCTAAGGAGTAAGTAATGTATGGTCTACATCAGAATAGTTGCTAAATCTGGTTATAATGCAACTCATATGAGTCCTTGGAGATTCATTTCTGAAGTGTCTCCCTTTTTCTTTCCATTAATGCGTTATAAGGTGGGAGTAAATATAAAGTTCTATTTTAAGAGGATACATGAGAGGTCTGTCAACTTTAAGGATCGGTTTTCCGCAACTTTACCGTCTTTCTTCTTTCATGATACATCCATTTCTAGATTTATTGTTAGGAGGGAGGTTCTTATTCTTGGGATTATTAGGATTGTAGAATTGGACCAAGGTTAATTCAGTTAACGTCAGTTGTAAATCTTTTTATTGCTATCCATGATTATTAAAATCAAGATCCAACCCCTACAATCCCATGATCCTACGATCTGAAAATAACAAATCGATCTGGATCGTAAAACAAAATAGTTGCACGGTAGAATCAATAAGGATTGAGATCTAGATCCTTAAAAATCGTATGATCCCAATCCAAATACGATTTACACCAATCCTATTTTTTGGTTATGACTTGGGCCTTTCCTTTAGTCTTGGAGGCAGCCCGGGTGATCTTTGAATTTTAAAAACCCATAAGCCCATATTCATCTCAAATTATTATAATTAGGACGGCATGTACTGTTTGGTCCCCTTCACGTCTATTCCTTTTCCTCTCTCTCATGAAAATCTTGCTAAGTCTGCATCCTTCAAGCGGCAAGTTGTGCTATATTATCACTGGGATTTCTCACTCTAAGAGGTTGTCTTATACTTTGTCTATTTTAACAACTTCTCCTCTGTATTTTTTTCTTTGTCGTTTTAGTGATCATGTCTTCCTCTATTTTTTTGTTCTCGTCGCAATGGCGATTTGCAGTTCTTCGATCTCAAGACTCGTAATTTTCTCACCTTGAACTTTAAGGGTATGTCTTTCTTCCCTATTACCCTATTATAGCCTTAACTTTGCGCTGTAATTTCTAGACTTTGCAATTGCAGCCCTATTGTATTTGGCTCCCCTATGTTTTATAACTTCAATGTTACAATATTGATGTGAGAGCTCCACCTTTTGAGCTACATTCTCAATTTTATTTGAGTAACTTGTGATACGCATATTATATATATGTTTATCATCATATATTTACATTAAGTACATAGACAAGGTTTGGTTCATTGAAATCTTTATTGTTGAATGTATTTTTAGTTCTATGTTATTTAATAAGTAGGATCTTACGATTCTCGATCCGACTACAGCCACCCCCATTGATCTAAGTTAGGATCCCCATTTTAAAAATCTTGCTGCTATCTTGTAGTTCCCACACTATCCAATTTTTTGTCATTGATAAATTCATTTGGAAGGTAAAGCGCCCCTCAAAAGTCAAGACTTTTGTTTGGTCTTTTGTTGTTAACTGGGTGAATACTAATGACATGTTGCAAGCCAAACAACTTTATAAAGCTTTGAATCCTGATGTGTGTTCAACTTGTATGAGACATGAAAAGTTTAATGCCCATCTATTTATTCATCGTTCGTTTGCTTAGGGGTCATGGAATAATTATTTAATGTGATTCGAGAGGTATGGATTTGTGCATCTACAATGGAAGAATAGTTGCAGACCAAATTTTAGGGTTTGGGGAAAAACAAATCAAAAGTTTTGTGGAGTTGTTCTTTGACGGTGATGAATTTGGGACAGAAATGTGTTTCTCACTTCTTTATGGACTAAATCCGCAGGGAATTTAAGAGGTGTATCTTTGTCGAACCTTCAAAAGGGACTAGAAGGAGGCTCTTGCTTAATGTTCTTTTTTCTCTGGCTTTTTGTTATCTTTTTTGGTTTCTCTTTATTTCTTTGTGAGAATATCTTGTCCTCTATATTGTGTCATTTTATATCTCTTCTCAATCTAAATAATATTTCTTTTAAGTGCCGAAGCAACTTTGGAAGTGATATGTATCTACAAGTTGTCATTTGTAAAATGAAGTCATCCAAGACAATTATGTGATTGTGGGATAAAACAACTCTGAGCTAGTACAAAGCCCAAGAACCAAAGGTTTTACCTCAAAAGATTTCACAAAAACTTCCACAACCTTTTTCCAAGTCAATATACACAACCAATAGGACCCAAAGATCTGAAATTTATTCTAGAATTTCCTTGCTTTTCCGATGACAAGCGGTGACAGCCAAACTCTTGCAACAAACTAAAAAAAATAGTTTCAACAATTTTGGCTTCCAAAACTTTCCCCTTGATTTAATTTTTTTTTTTTTTTTTTTTTTTGGTTGGTAGGGGGGGGTGGTGGTGTTTCATACTAATGAGGCACCATTTAATGATCAAGAAAGGTGTCTACATAGAACTGCAAGTTAAGCTTTGTCTTCTTTTCCAGTACTCCTTCCAAATGCTCCAGATCTGACAAAGGGCAACATCCAGGACTTCCCACATCCTTCTTCGAGCACACCCAACTGCCTCAACTTCAAAAGGAACAGCCAAACGAGCACAGAATAACCTAAAGAGAAAAGGGGGCATCAAAGCTCCCTGGCTGCCTCTCAATAAAGCAACAGGATAATATTTTCTTCCATCCTCCTATACATGTGACACCAGTCTAGTATAATCCTCCCCTACTCTAGGCAAAGTAAAAACCAAAGCCGTAATCCAAGCAAAAAAGGCCAGCTCCAAAGGAGCCTTCCTTTTCACAGAAGGAAGCAACAACCTTGCGACAAAGCTCCATGTAGACTGATTTGCACTGAAAGTTGTCTCCATCACAGCTCAACACCCCCGACCCCAAATTTATAAGCCAGAAAACATTCTTAGAAAGAACATCCACCGTCTTTTACTCCAAGTCCTGAAGATATCTGACATAAATAAAAAAGTCAACACTACTCGCGCCCAAGAAGTCACATAGTCCGCTGCCCAAGCCTCGCCACCTGCTGCAATACTAAAAGAGGTCTAAATAAAGGTCCGCCAACCACTTTCATCACAAGATCTAACCCTCGGTGCATGTCCTAAAATTACCTCAATATGATTAGAAATCCCCAAGCATCCTCAATTCTGAAAGAACTTTTATCAAATCCTTTGACTTGCTTCTCTCCGGTGGCAGTTTTATTACAACCTTCAATTTACTCAATTATCTTAATTTTCTGGCCTAATTATTCTTTTGATTATCAATTCAACCTCTAATCAAAACAATATACTTCAGTAATATTGCACCTCTTCAATAGATTTACTTACGAGTATAGTAGCCCTATTGTCATTATGTGCTTCCAAACCCCTGGCGACACATCACCCCCTTAGAGCCTCAACTCCATGCACTCCAACCCCAGCTGATCTACATTCATATTCAGTCTCATAAACTCATCTAAAACTAAGCCCGCACTTAAGCCAAAACAGAAGCCCACTCTTAATCCAATGACCAATAACATCCTGATCCCAACATAACAACATATATAAAGTCATACCTAACCTAAGTTTAGCAAACTTCCAAATAAAAACCTAAGTCTGGCAACAAAATTCCATTAATGCAAACTAAAACCCTTCTTTTCAGAAAGTATAAGCTCTAAGTATCAAAACAGAACTTCAGAGAAATTGAGCTCCATAGTTGATACCAACTAAAAGTTTGTTTCCTTATGGTAAGTGGCTCAACTTGAAGTTCAACCAACTTATGAAACTCCAGGTAATCTCCCGCAACCACCAACTTAAACCAGAACTGGTCCGTCATTTCCAGTTTACAAGATTAGACATCTTATTTCTCTATAAGAACTATTAGCATTGTACACCATCATAGATTAAATGCTAATGTCGCGCAAAGGAATCAGTGGACCATCTTCTAATCAATCTACAGGGTGTTCCAACCTTGTTGGCCACTGCTTGATTGCAGTTTGGTACATTGGCCACCCAATCATTGAACAATATTTCATTGGTCGGGATATTACCGCTGTTGGTTACAAAACTTAGCATCTGTTGTTTCGTGGTTTATATGGAAAGATAAACATGCAAGCAATTTTGGATGCTAAGATTCCTTCTGAATGCAAAAATGAGGCATCCAACAGATTTAAAAGATGCCTCATCATTTTTGACAGAGGACTTCTCAAAGAACCTAAGCACAATAACTAGGAAGAAGTAATTAGGACTTGCATGCTTTGTGTTCTCCTTTCTGTGTGCTGCTTTTATTCTGCAGCTTCTGTTTTGTAGGCAACATTCAGGAATAGCCACACTCCCTTATCTTTCATTCTGAACAGCATCTTTATTAATACAGAGAAAAGTGATGTTTAATTTTTTATAAGACCACTAAAACACATGGTAGATATAGACCATCACATCAACCCTACAATCATTCGTATGACAGAAATGTAGTTCTCTTCAATATGTAAAAGTAAACAAAGTTCAATAGTCCTACGAAGTATCACTTGCAGTTGTAACAAGCTTGCTGCTTGTGACCAAACCACAGAAAAGTATAGCAATATTCAGCTCAAAACATTAATGTCAGATAACCGAAAAATAGGCAAAGACCCAAAAATATAGAACTCACCATGAAACTGGAGTTGGCTGAGCAGTTACTTTATCAGGCTGCACCCATCCACCAACAAAAACATCAAAACAGAAAATAGATAATTAGTCAGGCAATACACAAAAAACAGAAGATCTAATTCATCATGGGCTATACACCTATGGTAAGGGTAACATGAGGTCCTACATGAGAGAATGTGAGTGTAGAGAGGGGAACAACTTTGGTGGGAACTAGGTGAGCCAAGTATAGCTTAAATGTACTTTTGAGGTAGAGGGAAACTGAATAACACCCGAAAGAGAAATTAAATTGATCGTTTCCCTAGGTTGATGGAAGCTTAGAAAGAATACAAGAGTGACAGTACTAAACCCAAAGAGACCTTCTTTATAACTTCTCTACTTAGTTTTATTTCATTCTCTGAATGCCCAAATTATGTTTTCTATAAAGGAATTTTCAGAAAAAGAAGAATTATCGTACACAAGAACTGCACAGACCACCACTTTGCTATGGAATTTGCCATATCATTAGTGCACTAAAGGTGCATAAGTACATAGACTAAATAATCAACAACTTGCTGAGATGCAATAAAACCAATACACAGACTACCCCAACACACCCTTCCATTGGTTTAGATCAATTCTTGCAAAAATTGGTCTAGTCCAAGCTTAAAGAATTTTGTAACAAATTAATTTGGTTCAGTTCTATGTTGGTTGCTTGAATGAAACATCATCCAAGAGTATCCTCTTTCTGATCCCTTAATTGGCTTCAAAAAATGAGTTTCTGAAAAAACAAAAGTGTAGTTACTCACGCAAAAGCTGGACTTCGTTTGGAGAAAACAAAATCACTCAATTTTAACAACTAATTGAGACATTTAATATCATTCTGCTCAGATCTTTCTGTAGTCTCACTTATGATAGCTAATTAAAGTTACCATTGGCCACAAATTTTCCAACTATTCTTCTCCATTCTTCTTGGAGAAAATGGAAACTCTTGAAATATAACATCAATCAAAGATGAGGCTTTCAGAAATAAACTACAAAGCGTCATGGAAAAAAAATCAAGGTTTTACTAGACCCAAAGCCATCATGGTTACTTCCAAACTATCAGAAGGTTTGTTTTACCACTAATGCAGCAATAACTACGGCACTTAACATCAATATAACTGAGCTGCTTAGGAGATTCCTTAAAAAAGAAGAAAAGGAAGAAATAAAAGAAGAGAAGGACAAGTAAAAATCGTACAAGACACAATTGTAGCATAAGTATCAAATGCATTACAAATGATTTCCACAACATGTTCAACACGGTAACGTACTCTTTAACAGCAGCGAAAAAGTATTTAAAACGCCCAATTACATGCTTAAAACTCACAGGACAGTAATCACTGCTGTAAATACCTCTCTCTTAAACCCAGCAGGTTTCTCATAAGTAGATTCTCCCGTCAAAGCATTATAATAGTATACAGCTCCTGTTTCAGACCAGTGGGCTGTCCAGGCATCCAATTGTTCACCAACCACTGCCCCATCATTGATGCCATCATTGACAAGTGTACTATTACCTGCAGAACCCCAGGTCAAGATGCAATGTTGAGCAGATAAATCAAAAATTCTGACATTTTAAGTGCATCAAATCATTAACAAGAATATTGAGCATACCAGCACCACGGAATAATTCTGGCTGTGTCCCTGAATTAATTATATTAGAAGCTGCAGAAGAAGTGGGGGTACCACCAGGAGGCCCCACAGAATTGACACCAGGAGGTTGAGAATCAGGCAATGCAACAGAAGGAAGTGGTGTGCCATGAGCTGCTGAGAGAAATGGGCCGGGAAAAGAAGCAGGATATGGTAAATATGCTGGTCTTTGCAAGCCACCAATCAGGGAGGGCTGTAACCATAGTCCCTGAGGGGGAGCGGCCAAAGGAGGTACAGAAGGATAGGGAGGATAAGCTTGCTGCTGAACAGCTGAATTGGATGAAACAGAAGCAGTTGGCATGATGGGTCTTACGACTGCAGAAGATGAAGAATCCATCAATGCCGACGGGAAAGTGACATTGGATGGAAAAGGTATAGAAGGAGGGGCTATTCCAGGGGGGCCAGGCATTACAGGAGTTCCAGACATTCCGGGAGGCACTTGAAACGAAGAGGCATTAGGCATCCATATAGTTTCTGGACGAGTAGACACAGTTGTTGCAGAACTAGAACTTGCATGAGCAGTCTGAGAAACAGACTGAGAAGTAGATGGTGCAGATAATATGCTGCGGGTTTCTTGTGGAATACCAGCTGTCATGTTCTGCTACCAATAAACGAATCAGAACAATTAGAAGTTCACACACGTTCAATTGAGTCTACAAGTCAGCATCAGACTGTTTCATAAATTTCATTAGCTATAAGACCATATACAATTGACCTTCAATTATTAGACTTTAATTAGAGTCCATCTGCACTTTAACAATATGCATACAAACAACTTGATTATGCCTTTTCAAAGTTAATATTTTTGCCATCTATAAAACTCAAGAGTTCTAACACAGGTTTTGGTATAGTAAGTTCACAACAACTACAAGTACACTTAACCATGTCTCCAAGTCTAAATTTTATGAAGTTGTTACATGTGATGTGCATACACATGTCAGACAGTGGCACTTCATTTTCACGTCCAAGGACCATAGTCATCAGACAATAAAGAACTGCTTCAACTTATTTGATATACCATAACAAACACATTTTTAACCAATAGCTTTATTGAGGAAAGAAAGTATGGTATATGAAATCCTATGATAAACTAAAGCCACATTTGAACGAAATAAAGAAGTGATTCTAACTTTTGAATAATTTCTACAAAGGCCCCGCTGGACTGGGCCTTGCCATGAGAACTGAGAACCAGTACAGTGACTTGTTCTGCCCAGAACCAGTCCAGTCACTATATGCACCCAAGGACCATCATTTACAACGTAGTACCATACGCTATGCAGGAGAGGAATCTGTGTATTACACATACGGATTTCAAGGACTGATCTTTCTGCATAGACTGAGAATTTCCACTAAAAGAAAAGTTCACACTATTTGATGGAGCTCCTTGAGGGACTGCAGCAGGTGCTGGGACAAGGGATGGCATGATCTGTGCAGCTGTTCCAGGTACAAATGAATTAGAACGAGCAAAATGCCCCGGAACAGGAGGTTGTAAGGATGCTGCAGAAGATGGAGTGTTCTTTCCCCCTTGAGAATGACCTGAAGCAATGGGCTATCATGCACCAAGAGATTTTAATCAATTGTAAAGCACCCACAGAAAATATGACTACAGAAACTCCGAAAGCAAAATTCATATGTCAAATTATGACTTGCTATGACATGGAAAAAGCATGGATACAAACTTTTGGGTTACGGACACACTACACAAAATTTCTCAAAAAGTAGGACCAGGAAAAAGCATAAATACATTAAATATATTCCTTTGCATATATGATCATAAAATAGAAGACCAACACCGTTTAACTCAAACCACATATAAAAAATCTCATAAATCAAAATAAGTTACCACATCAAATCTATCTCTAATAAATTCAAGGGAAAATTTCATCCACCACCCATAATTTGGTCTATATTCAATGACACTCTCTCCCGATTCTGAAACTTCACTATCACTCCCTATCAGTGTTTGTCGGGTTACGATGTCAACGGAGATTGCTAATTCACTGAAATACCCCTAAGTATTTTATAGGATAAATTTTATTCACGCACCTTGTAAATAAACTTAACTTTAACAATACCCCTGTAAATAAAACTAACTTTGACAACAACCCTTTCCAATTCTGAAATTTCAAAGCAAATTAATATTTAAATTTATCAAATTAAGACCAAATTTATTCAATTAATATTAAATTTTATCGAATAATATTTAAATTTTATATATAAAGGGTGATTTGTGAAGAGTGGATGGGTGACATTGTGGAGGACAGACGATAACAAAGAAGTTAGAAATTGATGGGATATTAACATTATCGATTATAATATAGAAAAATTATTTTTAATTATAAAAATTATAAAAACTCGATTATGTAACCAAATGAGTAATAACACGATGACTAATATTATAACAAAGTTATCATGCAACGCTTTAAAATGATAAAAAATTATTGGGATAATATAATGATAGAAATCAAGCATGTTGGCTGGCTAAGGCATATATAATAGGGAAAGGATTGTGGGCATTTTAGTATATTTACATAACAAATAACAAAAGGGTAATTTTGGCATTGTCACAAAAATATTTAGTCAAATTGTTACAAAATATTTAGTCAAATTATTACTTTATCAACCGGCAGAGATAAAAGCTACCGTTAAGGGGGTGTTAGAAAGTATAAATCAGAAAGGTGTGCAATGAAGTTTTAGAATCGAGATGGGACGCCATTGAATTTAGACCTAACTACCGGGGGGGTGTAGATGAAATTTTTCCTAATTCAAACATTACTCAACACCAATACATGCAATTGCAACATAACAAAATCACAAATTCAAATATAATAAAAATATCCAACGAGATGGAATACAAACTTTAGACCTATCAAAACAAAAAGAATAAGAACTTTTACCATCATGGGCATAGTCATCAAAATCGGTACGATTTGTGATTTAATTCATATGATTTGATTCGATACAGGTACAAAACAATTCGTATCTTATATGAGAATCGTTTTATAATTGAATCACACCTGAATCGTATGATTCATACGATTCGATTCGATTCGTATAGCACAAATTGCACAATTCAATTACTTTTTTTTAAAACTCAATTTTTTGGCAAAACGTCGTTTTGTTCGCTAAAAAGTAAACAACGTCGTTTTATTTGCAAAGGAACCCACGCCATAATAAAACTCAACCTCGTTGCTCATTCTCTCTCTGACATCGTCTAAAGCTCGACTTGCATCGTCTAAAACTAGTCTTGCATTGTCTAAAGTTAAAGTTTACAGCTAACGCTCTCACATCATCGGTTGATTTTGCTCACAATTCTTTTATGGGTAGTTTGTTAAATTCTAATTTTTTATTTCAAAATGTTAGCCCATATGTTTCTCCCAACCAATTGTTTTTATTTGTTCTTTTTCCATTCATGTTTGTAACCTAATCTAATGGGTGTCACTATTTTGGTTCTTGAATAGTCATAGTTCTTTAATGAATTTTTTTTTCAAGTTATTAAATTTAAAAATGGTCAAGTAAAAGATGAAAATGAAGTAAAAAACTAGAGTCTTTCCATTTAGACGACCTGATTATGTCAATTGATCATTTTTAGAAAGCAATAATGTTCGATGTTCAATATTTTTTCTATTTAAATATGTAGTATTATTTTTTATTTTTGTTCAAATTTTGTGTCGAATCTTACGCTTCACGATTCGATACGATTCACGATTCTCAAATTTAAGATTCCGATTCACAATACGAATCGCAATTTGACAACTATGATTATGGGTATGTCCTTAGCAATCACTAGAAGCAATTAGAAGATGAGAAAGATCTTCACGTCACGTTTGTAGGAGTCCTTCCTTCTTTTTTTTTTTTAACTTTTTTAATGTGACGGTTATGAAGTGGCACGTCTTCTCTTATTTACTTCTTTTTTTTTATAGTTCACATTTTGCCCCGAGTTCTTCCAAGATAAAAATTGTGGAGCATCCTAAACATGTCATCACAACAGGTCCAAAATAAAGAATGAACACTTTTCATGGTCCGAGTCCCATTCGTATTAAACACTGATGCACAGGCCTGCAAAAAGTGACTGTGTTTCCTCGGCTATGGTTTCAAAAGTATGCCTTGTCGAACAGACCTATGGCCAACTACATTTCTAGGGCAAGCAAGTTGAAGCAGAATTGCTTCAGGAAAATAACACCACAAACAACCAGAAGAAAGCTATTAATACCATCACATGAACTAGCACCAGAAATAAAGGTAATAAAAACTAATCAAGGTTTTAACAATATCTCAACAACGAAACATTGAAAGGTTTTGTACTACATGATACATATAACACCAGGCACAAATTTTCGTAAGTTAGTTTAACATGTTCTAAGTTGAATATGACTATTAGATGTAACTAGTCCAGGGCTGAAACCTACCTCAAAGACACATAGTCCAATTAAATGAGCAGCCAACAAGTATGTTCAAGGACCCAAAATTCTCACTTAGACATCAACTAAATCTTTTATCACCCACTAGGAAAGATGTCAAACACACTACCTATAGATTGGTGCAAATGCAGGAACACCACTTACATTATCTAAAATTTTACAAAACCCCCTTTTAGTTCATAACTTGTGTCAGATGCCACCTCTATCATGATGTATCTTAAAAATAAAAAATTCTTTCCATAATGCCAGTTTTACCCTCAAGTCATCAAGTGTGATATGGGTGTGGCCGAAATTTTCCCGAAAGACTTTATGCAGTTCGAGATCCCCTATTCAGAAATTGTTGTTTATTAATGCAAAGTAAACAAGTGACACACCAGAAACACTTGTGGAGTGAGCCTGGACAAAAGCTGATGCCCATCAATATACAACCAACAAATTGTGCACCCTATGCATATATATTGAAATCACCCGCCATTAGGAAGGTCCAACACTACAATACCTAATCCAATGGATGGAAGGTTTGCTTCCGATTTCAGAACTCATAACAATTACAAGATTTAAACAAGTAAAGTGCAAAAATCAGTTTGGAAGACAAATTTCACTGTTGGCAATTTTTACCTCAACTCTTTCTGAATTATGATAAGTTGTACATACTTTTTAACTGCACTACCTCTCTAGAACATGTTTTACCAAGACAAACACAATTGTTTACACTCTCACTTAAAGGACCAACATGTGACAGTAGCTTCCCTTGAGTGGTTGGACTTCATAATTTGTTTATACATATATATATATATAGACAAGTGCATGTACATAGCCACTCCATGACCGATTGAAATCAAACCTTTCCCCCTCCATCTACATCAACGAAGGATCTAGGGGGAGCAATTGGGCGCAAGGGCCTCCCCAAGGTTGGAAAAAAATACTTTAAAATCATACACCATTGGTTAAGTGTCACTTTGACAATTGCCACCACCCTAGAAAAAAAATAAAGACTTGTCTAAAGAGTCCCCCACCAATCCAGCAATTCTTGAATAAGTCCTTGGTCAAAACTCTGCCAGTCAACCCAAGTCCTACAATCACGTTAATTTTTAAGCAAAATGTGGACCCACCGATAAACACAATCATCTAGAAGATCTACTACAATTACATTATTATCCATTTGTTTATTAGCCTCAGTTGCACAGGATACCTTTGGGTCAACATATGCATGAAATAATTTGATCAACCACAATATCTCTTGAGATGCACAATCTAAGAAACATAGATACGGACACGGGGCACAGCAAAGTTAAAAAAAATAGGACATGGGTATGACGAGGATACAGCTATTAAAATAATATAATATATTTTACAAAAAATAATAAAGTTACAATATATTATAACAATATTAATAATAAGACCTAGTAAATATTAATTTTGCTTAAAATTAAAATAGATCAAAATAAATATCTATCATTTTCATCAAACATCATTACATCCATTGAGGTTCATAGTATATAAGTTACATAAAAAAATTATATCAAAAATAATAGATATAACACCTCTTTTAATAGTCAACAATTTTTTAAAAAAATTAAAAAATTTCTCACCAAATCTTAACCGTATCCTTACCATGTCCTAGACGTATCTTGATCGTGTCCCACCCGTGTACTACTAGGTCACTATTCAAGACCCTTCTGGCCGTGTCCGACACATGTCCAGCTGTGTCCGACACTTGTCCAACGTGTGTGCGTGTCCGACACTACCACGACACCCCTCCGTGAAGTATCCGCACGTGTCCGACACTACCACGACACCCCTCCGTGAAGTATCCGTGCTTCTTAGTGCACAATTAACCTGAGATATCCAGGTGGACCCATCAAGTGACAGTAACCACCCTGATTGTGTTCTGCTATTCCTTACTTTAACCGACAGTAAATAGTTTCATCAGGAAGTGACCCTTACCATGCTAGACTGTAATTGCTGGCCACTAGCTGAACCAGCACCAGCATGTGAAACGTAATATGAAAATGAGGGACCAACACTTGAAGACAGGCCAGGAACAGGGGGTTGGAGAAACGCTAAAGAACCTGGTGAGTTTGACTTTATAACCTGCATTCACATCCAAGCCATTAATAAACTAGACTTGAAATAATACCTCCATAAATCGGGTGAAAAATGTAAGCTGTTGACTAACAGGACTGGATGATGATTGCTGAGTGTGTCCCAAACTAGAGTTAGCATTTGCAAGCACATTGTATGAAAATGAAGGCAGTGGGATACCAATGCCAGATGCATTAGCAAATTTTGCTTGGGCAGATTCTGGCATAGAGTCACTTGCAGTACCACTTTCACCCTTTGAAGTAGGAGTACTCATAACAGGAGCAGCAGTTGGGGTCGAAGGGCCCATACCTGCTGTTCCAACAGGAGGACTACAAGCAGAGGCTTGAGATGTTGAAGACTGCACTTCCTGTGGTATCCAAGCTGGAGATTCCATTACATAGCTGCAAAACATGGAAATGGAGAAAATTTAGATTTCAATAAAAACTATAACAGACTGAACATATTTGTGTTCTTCTATTTCAACGAAATGGCTTAAATATAATTTTCTGGGTCAGTAGACAAAAGTACTTAGGAAAGGATGGTCAGCTTGGCACTTTAGTTTCGAAATGGATACTCTTTGAATGCTTTAACCTCAGAAACTACAAGTGAGAAGATCAGGTCACATTTACATGTCCCTACAATATCTTTCAGTCCAAGGAAGAACCAGAGGTAAGCTATCACAGGGGAACTAAAACTTAGTCACATTCAATAATTTGGCTGCTTAGGGTGGTTAATAAATACCACAGATGTTTGATAAGCTTAAGGAAGTCCAAGAACAAACTTGAAATATTCAGAAACTCCAACTCAAACTACATTTACTTTCTCAGTTTAACTTAATTGATGTATGGGATAACCACTGCAAAACTGAGGAAAAAATGGAAAAGACTTTCAGAGCATCCAATCCCAAAAACTTTATCAATGTGGTCCAAAGATATATGCATCTGAAGGCCATTTCCTAATGTTAGTCCTGCTACCTGTGCTAGGAAGATTTGTTTATTGCTTAGAGCAAAGAACCTACGGATTGACTAAATAAAAATATACTTTAGCACACCTTTACCTAAGAAGCACAAACACGAACACGAACATGGAACAAGAATATAAAACAACACCGGACACAATAACACGAACATTTTAAAAAAAATAGGGCACAGACTCGTTGTGGGCACACTTTAAATATTATATATTTATTTATACATTATATATATACATATAAAAAAAATAGGGCAGGCTTCAATAAGCCCATCCGACGATCTCAAATAAACTTATCTAACGGCCACCAACACTCCTCTCAAAACCATTCACATTGCACCGTGCCTAAAGACATGGATTAGCCCTAGTATATACATTATCATGTGATAAAATAAATATATTTTCATAATAATCATTTAATTTATCATTTTCTCAATTCTAATAACTCAAATCATGATATGATAGAATAAAATATATTATATACAATATCACATATATCGATATACATACATCGTAAACATCAATGATCAGACAATCAATGACTAATACAATTTTCATTTTGAAAAATATTCCACTTCATAACCCTAATTTTCATCAACTTGAAAGAGTCTCAATTTTATAACCCCATTTTTTATTATATTACTTTCGTATAGAAAGTTTATTCCAATAGTATATAATTTCGTAATTGTGTCTGAAATTATCTTATATCCATATCCTACATTCATATAGTGAATATAACTCTTTTATATTATGCATTTGACTCGTATCTCTCCAAAATCACAAAAATAATTTCCTTAATTATAAAGTTATTTGAAAAGTTTTTAAAAATTTTAAAAAAAAATCTCAAAACGTGTCCTTCAAAGTGTCAGTCGCATGTCCCCAACGATCTTTAACGTGTCGGTCATGTGTCCAATTTTAGCGTGTCCATGTCCAAACCTATCTGACACCGACACTCTTAACCAAAATAAAATCTCTTTGCTTCCTTGATCTTTACACAAGTGGAACCTATTAAACTCAAACGGGCATTCTCATGCTTTTAAAAGCCTAAGTATTTGGTTATTGCTAAGATTGTCCCATCCAGTGATGTTCATCTAACTTTATCTATAGCTAGTTATGCTCTCTGCTAAGCTATCACAAACTCCCGATAGAATTCAGGCCCTTCCTTTCCTTTGAAATGGGTCCTTGGAGGTCAATAGAACTACCAAATTTTTCTAGCACATTCTCTTTTTAAGCTCAAGACCTTGTGATAACTTTCTACTAGTTCTCATCCAGGGGCATTTTGGTTATTTTATGCTTGTCACTAACTAATTATGTAGGCTCAATTTTCTCAATGTGAGAATCAGATTGCAGAGGAGAAGCCTAATTAAGCTCAATAGGCTGAAAGCGAAAAGAGGAAACAGTTTGCTCCAGTGACAGATTGTGTGGTTACTGTAAACAGTAACTTTTCCTAACTGTCAGCTACTGTTTTTCTCCTGATGTTTTCTAACAAAGATCAACAATGCACTTTGCAGCATTTGTGTGCCATTAACATGCTTTAACAAACATATATCAAGATAGGGAATCAGTTCATAGCACGAAAGACTTGTATATAATAAGCTCAATTCTGCAGTCAACAACTCTTAAACATATAAATTGCATACATGATCACAATATTGAAATCAATCGAACCAAATGAACACATCATGATAGTTGTTCCGCTTAGTCAACCTACATCCACTCTTTGCATATCCAATTATCCACTGTGGAGTTCCTCCACTAATTAGGGATTGTCAAAGTCAATCCAACAAATTAGAGGATTACAAGAAGGTCAATCCTCTAACCTACGCGACACGTCCCGACAAGGCCCTTTACCAAGTATTTGGTGAAGGTTTCCCACTTTAGCTAACCTACAATTATGTCCACCACAACAAAATGTAGATTCACGGTAAATGCACAGTGAAGTCTAACAAGCTCCCCTGGGACTTTGCCTCCTCATAGAAAGTGTGTAATACTCAAATGAGCAACCTAATGGTATAAATGGAAAGTATTATACATGATCATTTGAAGAAACCCAAACATCTAAAGAAGTCAGCTTCCCAGTTTCTTTCCTATGGCTACAAGTTCTTCTAGAATGGAGGGGCAAAGTGATAAATACTATTTTTTATCTCTCTTAATGTACATGGATCTGTATAGGAGTGACAGAAAACCCTAATACATCAAACATCTAAGGAATATCACTTGATATATATAGGGGTGAGAACAGCTAGTTGCCAAAAGAAGACAAGCTTGCTAGCCAATTGACAAGCTGCCAGTTGACTCCACCTGGTCAACTGGCCAGTTGACTCAGATGCTGCTAGACTTTTTCCTTCTGTTATTCAATGCTTAAGTCCAGTTTGTGGAGCTATGTCTCCGAGAATGTGCCTACAACTAAAATGTGTCCTAAATACACTAAGCACTGTCCCATTGAGCCTGGAGTCTTCAATTTGATCTAGTCCACTTTCCAAAACTCAGCCAATTTTTCAAAACTTTGAATCCTCTAGTACTGTCTTAGGCTTGTACTTTGTTCTTCCTTCATTGAAGTCATCAAGGCACAACCTAGAGCTAAATACAAGTCATGAAGTTGTCAATCTAAAATCCAAGACCTAACAATCTTCCCTAGTTGTTCGCCAATGTTACTCACGAAATCATACTTAAAAAATGAAAGGTTTTATATGCTACAGTAATATTTAGCATGAATCCATGACTATTTCCAAAACTAAAAGTTTGTTCTTCAAAGATCCAACCAGCTGAATATAAATGGCATCAGTCCGTAAATTTGCACGCATTCACAATTACTAAGCATCAATTTATAAGACTGAATGACATACAATGAGAATTAACCAAGAATTCACAATGACAAAAAAAAAACAATAACCCGCCACTCACTCGACAATAATTTGGGAATAGTTACCAATAACTAGGTTGCTTCCCCAGGAAACCTTCCACCAATGCATGTGAGGCCTAATACAATGGACCTTCAAGATTGTCAATTCACGCGGCCTATGTTTTTTGCTCAATTTTAGTAAAGGAAGCCATTAACATGTTCCTCTTAATGTGAAGATGTTTTGTTCACAATCATGCCATCAAGCTAAAAGTTATATTGGAAGCTTGATATGTTCACCTTCAAAATGAATATAGTGCGGATCCATCAATAGCATAGGTTTTCTTTCCCTAACCTTAATGACAAGAAGCTTGTCAGCAGCTTTCCAGAACATGGAAAATAGAGTCATATTTATAGATGGAATTGTAGCTTACAAATATTGGCAAACTTCACTACAACTCATACTACAAAATCAAATGCTAAAGTTCTCCAACCATTTGCATAATCTGCAAAACCAATTACTATCACAAATTATTGCCCCCAGGCCATTACCCAGTACAGCAATAACCATGTTGGGCTCCATGGGTTCAATTCTAAGACAACCAGTTTGTGAAAATAAATCAAAGATTAGGTAGGTACCAAGTCTACCCCTACTAGCATTTTCAATTAAGGGAAGCTGATATAGGTAATGCACCTTTTTTTTTAAAAATATCATTCTTTGATTATAAAAAATAGCAGTTTCTAGTTCCCACCATCTCTCTCTCCCCCTCCTGTTGTAATATCCCTTTCTCAAGACATATCACATTTATCATCTCCATGATACTTAGATTTTCCATTTTTTTTGGCACGCTCATTTTGAGAAAAGAACTCTGTTTTTCTTCCTCAAGACCTTGCACAAAGCTACACAGTTTGTCCCCCAATAAACCAGGGCCAATTAAAGGGTACTGCACCTAATCTTTGACATTACTTATACAAAGTGGCTACCGTTGTATTCAAATCAACAACTTGTGGTTTTTCAGTGTAAGCATTTTGCCACTGAAACGGCAATTGTCCCTGATCTAAAAACGTACACATGGGCGGAGCTAGGTGGGGACTAGTGGGCGTGTGCCCACCCTCAAATTTTTTTTATTAATATTACCTATATAAATTCAAAGTATTTATTGAGTATACTGAACTGAAGAATGTCCACCCTATTATATTTTATCATACCAATTAGGATAGAATCATAACTAAATGGTAATAACTTTTGGCCATGCTTCCAACATATTACAGACATTCCTAAATAAGTTTTAAACATATTAGAGTTATTTTGTGATTTATCAAAAAATTATATGATTAATTTGTTATTGTATAAATATAATTGAACGGACATGAAAATTAGGGTCACAACTTATAATTTCAAAATGAATTGGAGTTAGAAAAATCCAAATATGAAAATATTTATCTAATGAAACTACTTTAATCTAACCAAAACGGGGTCACCGCCTAAGAAAGAGAGATTGAGAGAGAAGAGCGTCCCTTTGTTAGTTTAAAGGATGTATTCTAGTTTTTGGTCCTTTTGTATCTATTGGATTTTTGAGTATCAA